TTTTTTGCGACGATGCCAAGATCATTTATGCAAAATTCAAAATAGGTGAGCAAATTTAAATGACCCCAAACCTCCTTAAATATACGTTCTATGCGAAGATGCCACTTCAAAAACGGAACAGAGCTGCGCGGATTTTCGTCACCTTGATTTTTTATTGAAGAGAAAACAATATGGGTCAGTGTTTTAAAACCACTATTATACATCGATACAACCGCGAAGAAATGCTGTTTCTTCATATAATTAAAATAGAATGACGCCTGTGTACATATTATATAATTCTCCGGCGGAAGGATTACGTTCGCAGTGAAATGAACTTTGATAAATGTTGAATAATAAAAAGTGATAAATTCATAGACGAACAAAGTTTATAAATTCATGGAAAAAACGACGAAGAGTTGAGGAATACTTTCTTACTGTATTAGATTTTTCAAGTACTAATATTTCTTCAAAGGAAACATCGATCGGATTCTAATGATTAATTTCACTCGTATTCCGCAAAATGATTTTAACTTACGTTTATGTTTCCTATCGTTCGTTCGTTACTCTATCACGATTTTGTCCTCTACTAACGGTAAGATTAAGAAATCAATATCGAGGATTATATTTGTGAAATGCGATAAAGGACGGTCCTTCATCGATCTTTTTCTACATTACATTCTCTCCTTTCTTTCTTTATTTCTCCAAACGTGTACTACTAACGTGCGCCGATATTCACCTAATTAACACATGTCAAAGGTCACGTGAGTTCTTTCACCGATTGAAATGAGTACACGTGAGAACCCCATTGTGAATGGGGAGAAAATATAGCGACCGAGAAAAAAATGTCGCGATTAAAAGTTGCAAAATTGTGTGTACGATGTTCCTAAAAGAGCGTGATCTATTTCATCGAAGGAAGCGCGAGGCTCTGCTGGATGGAAAGCTCGTTCGTTGGTACGAGACCCGTGGATTCGCCGGAAACTCCGATGAGCCTGGCTACAGATACCGAGTGTTGCGTCGGGTGCAACGCTACCGGTACAGAATCGTGCAGTTGCATGGACTCCGCGACTTCCGGTCTTTATCTAGACGTGACGCCGCCACTCGATGATGCACAACCACAAATGCACGGAATTATCCGCGGCAGTCTTTGCCTGTCGCCGTCGTCGTCCGCCAATTATAATCATCCTCAGATATATCAGCAACGGCAACATCAGCAGCAACAGCAACGCCATCACCGTGGTGAGTTGTTGCTCGCCTAGCGGAAAACAAAAAACAAAACAAAAAAGAACAGAAAAAATATCGCCAAAGCCGCAAAAAAAGCAAAATGGAAAGATTAAAGCATCTTGGATTATTATTAATCGCGATATATCTGGACTTCAGAATTTAGAAATGCCAACTTCGTAGCTCTTCTCTCTTCGTTCGTATCGAATTTATTTTTTAGGCAATCGACTTCCGTTTCTCTCTCTCTCTCTCTCTCTCTTTTTCTTTCTTTCTTTTTCACTCTTTCTCTCTCATTCGTAGAGCCTTAAAATATTTTCTAATTTTGAACGCGACAATTCTTGTATGTATAATATATACATACGTACACGTACACATATAACACACGCGCCTATACATCAAGAAATCGTTTGATCTTCGCATTTCGTACATTTTTAAAAATGCCTACAACATAATAAGGCTGCCAATATTAGTGACTTGACGATGATTTCGACATCGGAGAAACCGCGGACATCGAGTGTAGATATTCTTTTTTTTTTTTTTTTTTTTTTTATGTATAATGGAGTTAGCTATTTTTTTTCTTTTTTATTATTTATTTATTTTATTATTATTATTATTTTTTTTTGCTCTTATTTAGTATCATCGTCCGATAGTAGAGATTGATAATAATAATGTCTCAATTATAGCGCAATTTCTTAGACGCTTTAACGATAAATAAAATTTCTTTTCTCTTTTTTTTCTCTTTTTTTTTTTTTTTTTTTTTTTTTTTTTGTTTTCAATTTGAACTCTATGATCGGAATCGAGTTGCAAATTTATTTTCGGTGATATCACTCATAAGTTTACATTCGATGTAAAACGCTAAATTAAGTCCCGGTATATCCTATGTCCAGTAAACGCGCGATCATGCACACGTTTTGCGTGTGAACTACGTACCTGGATGTGCCTCTTTTGCTTTCATTTATATATAAACACCAAACTCTTTGTATAGCGATTATAATTGTTTTTGCTTTAGCAACATTGATCATTTATTTCTTCGGCGATTCTGTTCAAAAAGACATTAGAATCGTCGTATAGTTATTAGAAGAATAGTTGTTAGAAATAATTAATATCATTTGGAAGATAAAAGGCTATTAAAAGAATAAAAGTAATTCTATTTTTCTGTTTAAACGTATATACAAAATATTATCATACGTGCCTATGAAAAAAATCAATATACATATATACTATAGTGCGCGAAGAATAATTTTTTATCTAGTTATTATTCTTAGTATTATTGTTATTCTTCTTATTATTACTACTATTATTATTATTATTATTATTATTATTATTATCATCATCATCATTATTATTATTATTATTATCATTATTATTATTATTATTATCATTATTATTATTATTATTATCATTATTATTATTATTATTATTATTATTATCATTGTCATAAGCGTTGAAAGTAATGTGCATGCCTACAAATGTGTGCGAAAGCATCAATGCTTTTCCGAGTATGTACATAAATAGTTTTTCATTAAATTAGATTAACTTTATTACATCTATATATGCTATTTTCGTTATATTAGATATAGTATTACCGTATATATTAATTATGGAACGATCCATGACATATCGCCAACTTACGACATTTTTTCACAAACTGAAACGAACAACAAACTATTTCTATTAATAATATTAGTATTTTGCTTTAAAAGAGTTTATAGTAATAGTATGTATATATATATATATATAATATATATATTATATATTATATATGCGTGTGTATATCTGATTAGTACAATTACTATAGACAGACTATTGATGGTGCATTCACGCAGTGCTTTCATTTACGGTCTAAGATAAATTTCGTAAAATAGATCGACGAGATCTTTTACATTATGAGATCATCTAGTACAGTCAGTTTATATATCATCCTTCCACCATTCATTCTTAATTTTTATTAACGCTATAAATGACGGGTGCTTAAAGATCCCTTTACGTCCCTTTGTAAAATATATACATATCTTTAAAATAATGTCGCGAAAGGGATATAATTAAATAATTATTATTCTTCATTTCTATATATAATCATTTATTGCTCAGTCATCGTAAAAGAAAGATCTTCTAAAAAGCCATGACAATATGTTCTCTCTTCAGACGAACGAAATCTTCCAATTTACGTTCGAGCGATCGCGAAAATTGTGCGATTAAAGGATATTAATGCAAAAATATTCTAATTAAAATTAGCTTCTCAATTTATTTACCCGGTAAAAAAAAAAGGATTTTTTATTATTTCACACCTTTTTTTTCTTTTTTTTTTTTTTTTTTTTTTTTTTTTTTTTTTTTTTTGTAATATTACAAACTATCTTAGCGAATATTCTTCTTTTATATGATACAAAGTCGTTTTATCTGATAAATTAGATTTCATGTGTTCATTCAAGGTAATACAATATTTGTTGGAGAAAAGTCTCCTTCCTTTGTCGCATCAATTTTATAACATATTAATATAAAGCTATACGAAAGGTCCAGTTTTTCTTTATTAATTATTATTTTGTTCTCTTTTATAACTATAGTATTACGAACGTATAAAAAAAAAGAAAAAAAAAATTCCATTAAAGATCCTTATTTAGTATTTGTAGTTAACTGCTTCTTATGTGCATTACATACATCCACCGTAAAGTTGGTTATATTTTTATGCTGTATAAGTATCGCTACATCAGTATTACATATATACATACTATAACTAAATTTTGTGTATGCATACTTGATACATCTAATGCGTGCATATGCATATATTTTATATATATATATATGTATATATATACATTCATAGTATGTATACATGTAATATATGCGTGAATGTACACATACGTGAAGAAAATATGTGTACATATATCACATGTATTACTCATTATTTGTACGCTACAGCCGCAGCGGCGTTATTGTTATATTGTTGTTGTGTTGTTATCTTTCTTCTTATTCTTAATTATTAATATTACTGTTTATTGTATTATTGTTTATTATCGCTATTATCATTATTATTATTATTATCATTATTATTATTATTATTATTATTATTATTATTATTATTATTATTATTATTATTATTATTATTATTATTATTATTATTATTATTATTATTATTATTATTATTATTATTATTATTATTATTATTATTATTATTATTATTATTATTATTATTATTACAACTATCGTCAATTGTAGTTAAAAAATAGTACTACTATTAGCAGGATTGCTATTACCATCATTGCTCTCGCAAAAGCACATTCGCGATACAGAATCAGCTCTCTCGGGCAACGACTCGCCCAAGGATCGGAAAGATGTATAACTTCTTATTAAAGAGTAATGATCGCAGTACCATGATCGCTCGCCGTAGAATGTATGTACATACTCGTACATATATCGTGTTCAAAGCACTTCGTGGGCCGTATTAATTTTGCTCTATAAATATCATACCCTACTCTCTTTGTGTTCGTTAATACATATAAAAAAAAAAAAAGTCGTTCTCGTATATGGGTGCTTCAGTCACTCTTAAAGATAATTCTTGTACTTATATTTTTTGTTCTTATTTATCTGTAGAGAGTATATTTATCCTTTTTAACAATAAATTATTCTTTTCATCCTTTGCGTTAGGCCCCTTGTTTCCTTTTTCTCATCCGACTTTAATCCGATCGTTCTCCCAGCATCCTTTCATGTTATTATAATCTTTTATCCGTGGCCTTCCTAATTTTTTTATTTGTTCATAAAATTACTTATTCATTCATTTATTTTTATTATTATTCGTCCATGTTTTATTATTATTCATGCCACGGTAAGTGACAAATTTTGTGTTATTATAATTGGCTTGTTATCATTTTTCGCTATATGCTTTTTGTTTTAGGTATTCAGAGATCGTGTTTGTTATATTCTTTTTTTGTTTGTTTTTTTTTCTTTCTTTCTTTCTTTCTTTTTATTACTCTCTTTCTCTCTTTTTTTTTTATTTTTTCATTTTTTCTTATTCTCACATAAAGTAGAATATAATAGCACGTTGGTTCTATACAAAAGACGTTAAGTGTGCAAGAAGAAAAAGAAAGAGAAAAACAACAAGAAAACTAAGAAATGAAATTGCTTACGTAAAGCAAAGTAAAGTTTTACGAGCTCTCCACTTTTGACAAGCTATCGTAGTCCAACAATTCTCTACAATTCGATCATACTTCGGTCTAGCTCTAGGTCAAGGCTAGTAGACGACAGCGTGGCTCCCAAACGGAATCACGGTCAGATGATATATGTGCATAATTCTATCGGTGGCTTTAGCTCGCGATCTACGATAAAATACTTCAACGACATTATAATAGCCAAGCCGTGAATGCGCAATGACACGAAGAAGGTTGGATGTCCTATATTCATTAACCGTAAGACGAGATAATTTTTTTTTTATAACGTTCACACAGTAACCCTCATTTTCGATACGTTGAAAACTTCAATAGTTTCCTATCGTGACTTTACCAGCCATTGCAGTTTTTACATAAAAGGAAAAAATAAAGGAAAAAAAAAAAAGAAAAGAAAAGAAAGTTGGCAGCTACAGCTAGTCACAGATATCTGTAATTGTTTTTTTACCGTTTGTCTTTCTTGTGATTTTTCATAAAACGATCCATATACGTAGCATGCCACACAACTGGCGCACTTCCCTATGTAAATTCCTATTTTTACTACATATAAAGCTCGTGCAAATCGATCTCATATAAAAATTTCATTCGTACGGGCAAATCGTGACGAAAACTTTGTCGTTTTCTTAAGTATAATATATAATAAAGAAAGTTTTCTCTAAAACCGTATTCGCGCGCATGCCGCTTTTGATCGTGTTCTTCTTGTTCTTCTATTTCTAATTTATAATAATACTCGGTGTTCATTATACAGCTCGCTTGAACTGATAAACGCGATAATCCCACAATAATGTTCTCGCATATTATTCATGATATACGATGATTAAATGAAGAGTTCAATAACATTATGGGAATACAAAGTGAGATACCATAAGTAAAAATATTCACTTCTTCTAAGAGAGTGATCTTGTGCCTATTTCTATTTTTTTTTCTTTTCTTTCAATAAAATCGATTAGATTCGGGACAGGGTGACATGATCGAGATGACGATGACATCGGCTGTACCGCGAAACAAACCAAGCCCCGGGTCGACGACTCTAGAGGATGTCCTTGATTCCCTTCTGGGTCTGCCACCTGCGTCGCGTACACCTAGTCCTGGACCAGGTCCTGTAGTTAGCTCTACGACTTCGTCGTCCATGCGTCATCGATCAAACATTGGTCAGACTAATGCTAAAGCCGGGAAAAGCTGCAGCGATCTACGTCAAGACCTCCAAGGTAGGAGGACTATGTAAGTTTACGTTTTGACGCACAACAAATTTCTCAACAAAATTTCTATCGAAGCCTAATACCGTGTATGTATATCTGTACATACGCAGGTTGTATCACTTGACATAATCATCAAAATATATTTAGAAATCCTTTATCAAAAAGACACATGATAAAACGATTATTCCACGGCGAATGATTAATCTTTATAATGCAAACTGAAGTAATGCTTAACGCTTTAATACGGTGCAAGACGGAGCCAACGCAATTGACATGAAAGTGAAGTTAAGAGAGAGTCAGCACGAACGATCGAAACGGGCACTTTAAACTTCCGAAGATAAAATAGAAAGAGAAGAGATCCTTAAAAAATTAAAAAAAAAAAAATAAAAAAATAAAATAAAATAATATTATAAATATCTCATTAATGATATCAAGTGACAGTGGCAATCACTACAAAGTTCGAAATAAAAACCAATGTATAAGTCTTCAATGAATATCGAATGGAAAAAGATTTCTGGAATCGAGTATCAACGGGACAAACGTTTATCATCAAGTTACGACGGACCGAAGTATCCTCTATCTGTAAAAGATTATTTTATTAAATGGATTAAAATTGTATTTTTAAATGAGAGATGTGTGTGTGTGTGTTTCGATCGAGCGGAAAGCAAAATGGTATAGAAATATTGAACGTTAAAACACCTGTATATGTATAATTGTACAATTATAAGCTTGATTTACTGATAACGTAAGAAATATCGTTAATTTGATAACGTCGATTGACCTAATGAACATAACAATTAATGTAGTTAATTCAATTGATAGAATGAATAAATATCTATGAATGCACGAATTACATTGAGATAGCTATTAACGGTAAATATTTATTATGCATGGTAAAGACCAATATTTTAATTTGAATTATTATACCATAACCTGTTAGAAAGAAATATGTTTGCAACGGTATGCAGTTCCTGGTAGAAATAAAGTCTGCTGGAGTCACAAGGACACCAACAATGCCGTTCCTTCCTAGTATTAATTGTTCCTATTACCTATCGCATCCTAAAAATAGATGAGAATAGATAATATCCTTAGGTAAATACAATAGAATTATATTAGAAAACAAACAAATAAGGTGTCCTTCCTTCTCCGCAGCTTATTATTATCCCGTCTTATTTTTTATCATTTAAATTCGAAATTATATCTTACTCTGACGATGTCGAAAATTAATGAAATGTCGCAGAGTCCGTTAGAAGCACGCTCGAGCTACAGGGATCATACGAGGATCAACGTGGCTCATGTGACATGGTAAAGCTGACAAGACGAAAGAGCGATGGGAGCGACCTGATATCTTCGAAAACTGCATCGGTTTCCTTGCAATCGAAATCGGCCGGTCAGCAACGTCGACGACGAGTCTCCTTCGATAACGCTCAACAAGAGAGAAATGGTCTGACAACGAACGCCACAGACAAGATAGTGCACTGTCGAAATAATAAATGCACTAATTCTGCGACTTTACTCGAAGCAAGAAGATCCTACAAGAGCTGCCATAATTGCACCTGCTTGTACTGCTCGAGAGAGTGTAGAAGAGCTCATTGGCAACGACATCGAAGAATCTGTTTACATTCTCGCGCTGGTAGTCTCTGCAAAGAAGTATTATCATCTGCGAAGGAGGATCCAAGGACTTTAAGACACGTCTCCGCCTTGGCTAAACGCGGTTACGCTTCCCATGGACGTGGCGCAGTAAAATGTTTCTTTTCGAGTCCAGAGGCAGCAGAGAGATTTGTTGGAAATGGTTTTCCGGAGCTTGGTGAGCCTACTTACATTAGATGGTCAGATCTCTTGCCTGGTGAAATGGGTGCAGAGCTCTATGCTGAAGTAATGAGGCTTTGTAAATCCTACAATCCGGACACCAGATTGGTTCTCTATGTTGCCATTTGCGTTGTTAGCGAAGTACCAACAAGTGGTGCTGTTAAATGGGAAAGGCAATTAGTATCACGGTGCGCCAAACTTCGTTTAGATTCAGCTTTTAGACAACCCAATTTCTCAACGTCTCCGCAAGGTAAGACAACGTCACCATGTAACATCACTAGGGAAATGGACTCGCCGGAAACGCTCGTTCTCACGTCATTGCCCACTAGCACCAATATTGGTCAAACTGCATCTAGAAGAGCAAGAGAAATTGGTTTTACGAATATTCAAAGACAATTAAGGCTTCGTGGCGTTTCCCTCAAAAGGCACTTTCCTCAAGTATACAGGAAACTTTGCTCATATGTCGATGGTTCTGTTGATAAGTTCGCACCTGTAACAATTTATCCAAGAGATCAAACTTCTGGTAAAAGCTTTATGTGTATTATTATGCTTGATGCAGAACCAGAACGACTTCGTCTACTTCCAACTGACTCTTCCAGAGTCAAAACTGTTGACATTAGCGTAGAACAAGAATAAAGTCCAAGACATGGAATAGATTAGATTGCTACCTTCCAAATTTCTTTAATTTTTCAAAATTCATTGTCCATGGGATAGGATAATATTCTATATCCATTATGATGAGCGATCTTGCAGAATGAATGGTACATTTTGTCAAAGACAAAGGATATATTGGCTATCAGTATATAGCTAATCGAATGTTATTCAATAACTGCTGGTTTTTACTAGATTGCAAATTTTCATATTACAAGTATGCAGTACATAGAAACTGTGATTTTACATGTTCTAAAGTTCTTACCATTTTGCCAATCGCATTAAATGCATGTCGTCAGGAATATTAAGCATTAAAGGATAGTTTCATGAAAGTAGATATGAGAAAGTAATTAAACATACAATTAAATAAAATATACAAATAAAATTAATAGTTATTAAAAATGTTTTGATTCAATAAATAATATACATAATAGGGAATACAATTCTTTAAAAACAATTATCTGTGATAGCTGACTGATCACTTCTTGATTCATTTCTTTATTTATGCATATTATTATTATTATTGAACAAGTCTTCCACAAATTTTATATTTCCTAATACAGTAGTATAGCAATGAATGTATTAATTACAAGAAATATGATATATAAATTTTACTGTTAAAATGCTACATGGTTAGTTTGTACAAAGAAATGTTCTTTTCATCTAAATGTCATTTACATTATTGTGTATGTTAATATCTGAATCTTTATTCTTAATAAATTATATCTGTTGTATTATCATACTGACAACAATTCAATATATTTACTGACGACATGCGCTCTGATTGGCCAACAAATTGATGACAATTTTAATTAATAATATTAATGGAAAATTAAAAATCCTTTATTTAAGATTACTACAGATGTTTTTCACAAAATATGTAGAAAACCAAAGATATATATTAAGTTTAAATTATAATTAAATTAGATCCTGTATTATTAACTTATATATTCTTAAGAACTGCAACCTTTATCACAAAATATTAAGTATTTCTTTTTAATATAAAAATGAACATAAATATTAAATAATAATAAATTTAATTTGAGATTATATTAATCTCTTATTTCAATATTAATTTACTAAAAGATTTGATAAAATATTAAATACAGTACAAAGGTACCAGTATTCTAAACATTGCTACTCGTATTTGTTCCATGATAAAATCTCATGGTACAAAGATAAATTGTCATCTTATATTTTTTGTGCAAACTCATCTATCTAAAGTAGCAAAATCGCTTTCTTTTATTGAAAAAATATTAATAATTTGATCTGTATGTTGCATTAAATCATGCACGTTTAATATAAAATTTATCAGGTCACACTTCAAACTCATAATCAGCCAAATATTAAAACTGCTAATAATAGTAGTAAGAATATAAATTTTTATTCTAACCTCAAATTTTAAATCGACTTGTAATAATACATATTATAATAGCTACTAATTCGTCGACTTATATATTGCGGATACACGTATAAATATTTAGGAGCATAGTAACGTGTAATCGCATAAAATGTGATGGAAATAAAAAATGGATGGATAGTATGATGAGGTTAGTAAAATAATGTCGACATATGGCCAAATTATAAATGACTAATAAATGACCAATCATAAATTTATGAACTGTTGTTTTCCCTGATTGAAATTTTTTTCATTTATTTACAACAAAGTATGCAGTAACATTCTATTTGTTTTATTAAAATTGAGTGCGTTAAGTAATCAGGATCGTAACATTAGGGACCCAAAAGGGTACCATATTTTTCCCAAAGCTAAGAATAAAAACGAATAAATATTGTAATATGGAAACTAGCTATCCATATTTGTTTACAGTAATCAAACTACTTATATTTAAAAAAATATTGTAAGAAAATCAAAAAATAAAATACAAGTTATGTAAGATGATTTGTTAAAGTTTTAGAATTTTGTAATAAGTATATTCGGACAATTATTCCAAAATAATCGAGAAGATTTAATGAGAAATATAAGTAAATTAAAAAAAAATGAAAATTCAGATTTATTCATTATTTATAATTAATTCAAAACTATTCTTAAATTAAAACCAACATAGTGCCCCTTGGCTCCCTAATAATTATTTAGATATTTCCTCCGATAGATACTAGATCGATCGATATACTCGAGAAGACTACATCCAATAATGTTAAAAATATTAAAAAATAATTGTTTTTCTGTACAAAATTTACTCATAGAAGATTTTTTGTAGATTCAATATAAGAATACAATGTTCTTAAAGAATTAAAGCATGAAATATTATTTTCTCTGATAACCACTCTTTTACTAAATCTAATTATGTGTAATACATTATATGCATTAGTACAGATACATAAATAATAAAAACATAAAATTAAGTATTAAAAAATTTTATTATTTACTAGATAAAAATTCTAGTACATAAAAACGATTATCTACTCTCTCATTCAAAAAACATGTATCTTTTAATATAATTTTTAGTTTTGTGTATTGGTATTCCATTTGAATCTTAACCAATCAATTTTGAATCCTTATTTCGTGTTTGACCAATGACAGATTAGAACACAACCGTCATTCTTTTTTTCTCTTATACTGTAGCATTATCATTCTATGTGTAGAGAAGAAACCCCGGGCAAATTAACTGTTGGTATTGGAAAGCAACAGAAACCGTTAAAGCTCGAATTTTTATAATTGTCTGAATATACTTTAATTGAAGAATACGAAGATAATTCTGTGATGGGTAATTATACGAGTAAGTTTCTTTCTCATGATAGTGTGGAAGAAAATAATACAAATGTGACTGAAACTGTAGAACAATCAAATCTTGTAAAAGAATGTAATACGATTACTCCATCAACTACGCAAAAAAAATTGATGATAGATCCTAGATCAATTACTGCCGAGATATGTCGAACACCAATAAAGGTAAGATTTTATAAAATTTATATGTTTTTAATATGCTTTTATAACTTTATATAATTTGTATAATTCAATTTATTTTAAAATATGATATAAACTAATTTTATATTTTCTGTCAGTAATTGATTATATTGTATTTTTGTATATAAATGTTCTTCATTTATTTTATAATAAATATTAATAAGAATAGACAGATAAAAAAAATAATGAAACAAAAATTAATAGATACATTGTACACCATCTAAGAATACAAGAATGGGAGTTGATGTAATACCAAAACATATGCAGAGAAAACCATATTTAGAAACCAATTTTGATACAACAATATCACCTTTGACATTAAACAAATATCTGGATCCAAGATCACCAAATATAGATCAGCCCAGAACACCAATTTTGGTAAGTTATTTAAATTCTAATCACTATTATAATAAATTCTTAATATTTTTCATCTTTACAAATATCTCATAAACATATATATTAAGATATATTAAATTTGTTATTACTTAGGTTGAAAATTTTACATCTTGCAAAACACCAACTACTAAATTGAAAAATAATGCAAAAGTATTACCATCAATGAATTATGCAAGTTTAGGATTTGATCCGAGATCTCCATCTACAGATTTTGATAGAACTCCAATTCTTATCCAAAAAACAACTAAATATTTAAAAATAGAATCCAAAGAAAATTTAGAACTATATAGTGAAACAGATAATCATCAAAGATTTTTGTATTGTGAAACAACATCGTCTAATACACCTGAAATATTAGCTTTGGTGGATGAAACATGTGAAGCAATAAAATCTTTGCAAAATGTTTCTAAAAGTACAGATAAAGAAGAATTGCATGTAAGTGAAAATACTAATCATATTAGTAATGGAGATGATAATAATGATAATACTTGTAGTCAGAAAAGCTCGCAAAATGAAAATGTCACAAGAATAAATACTATTAAAATATGGAGAGATTCAATGTTATCAGAAAGTTTGGAGCAGTCTGAGATTAATGAAATTAATGATCAAGAAAATGATGAAGAGAAATTTTCATGCTCATCTAAAGAAGAAATTGAAGCTATATTTGGTGATGATGTAATGAAAGGTAGTACACCAATATCTGAACAACTTAAAATTGAAATTGAAAATAAAAATGTACAAGATACATTGGAGAACAGAAAGAAAACAAATGGAAAAACTTTTATACCATATAATTCAAATATAAATGAGAAGGTATTAAATTATGTTATATACAAATATAAATAATATTCCTTATAGTAATAATACTAATTTAATTTTCTTTTTTCTTTAGAAACGAACACCTCTCAGAAATAGGTGTAATAATGCACAATTAGATACAATATTGACTAAATCCCCTCAACATATGTTACAGAATAAAAATTTCAGTAATATAATACAACATGAAAATACATCACCCCATAAAAAATCTTATGCTAAATCAAAATTTAAAGGAATTCAGTGGGATGTGAATTCTACAGTTATTATTTAAATAATTATATGTAAATATAAAATAAGTTTTAATTTTATAAATGAAAACCTTTTGTACTATTTGCAATTAATATATTTATGTATCATAATTTTTTTTTGATTAAGACAAGTAATTCTCACACTTTTGTAAAGCCGATCGTATTTGAAATTTAACCGTTTGTATAGAACTTTGAAGATCTTGACTTGGTTTCACTAATTGTTTAATACTGAAAAGTTAATATTTATTTAATATTACTAATATTTTAACCAATATAAACTTGTAAATAAATTTTTCCTTTGTCAACGTGTAAAAATAAATTACGTTTAACAAATACAATACCTTGAGTTTTTTAAAACAATTCGTTTTTTAATAGCGTCATTATTGGTTATTTTTTTAACAACAATAGTATTTTTTTCTTCCTTATTTGCGTTATTGGATACGTTTTTATCTTTAATGTCGCATTTTAAAATATTACTAGTATCTATGATTGATGGTCTAATGACTTTAACCTTGATATTATCTCTAATAGACTGTCCTTTGTAATTTTTTCTTTTTTTACATTTATCATAATTTTTTATTTCTGGTAATAAATGCTCTGTATCACTTATGTTTCCAGTATTTATTATTTTAGACTGAATTGGTACTACAGTTGTTGCAATTGAAGTTTTAATATTTTGAATGTTTCTCTTTTCTATCGCTATACTAGATTCATAATTTATTTGTTGACCATTATTAAAGAAAGGTTCATTGTAAGTAGCTTGATAATCAATTTGATTAAGTTGGTTTCCAGATAAGGACTGTGAAGTTATTGTTTGTTCTCCTTGAGATAATTTCCTAATATTATAGATAAAAATATTTTTATGAAACATTAATGCATGATAAATAAGTTGACCTTGATTATTCTTTTATACATACCTATTATATGCAAAATCTTGTTTATTACGTTTTAATCGTACAGATACATCTTTACAACGTTGCATAAGTTTTGCTCTTGTTTCTGATATAGATTCCAATTCAGGAGCATAAAAAACATGTAGAATACCACCATAAAAATTCTTGCCATCAAGGAAATGCTTTGCTATTCTGCACAATATATTGTAAATGACGTTGAAAGTTCTGTTAATGCTATACATAAATATTAATTAATTAGTTGAAATTAAACATAATTATATTTTCTAAATATAAACCTTGCACTTCGTATATCTTCATAATGTATATGGTATGCTTCTGTAAATTCTTCTGAAGGATAATTAGAAACTACATGAACTTTTTTTACAGCTCCATAAGGAAAGACAAGTTTTTTTATTTCTTGTCTTAATTGCAATTGTGGTACGTCACAAATCATCAAATGCTGTGATTCATCATTAATTGTATATATCTGTTAAGTGGAGGTGATGCATTACAGAAAATATATGCAAAATGAAAAAAATTATTACAATATATATACACTCACACACATATATATATATATGTATGTATGTATGTATGTATGTATGTATGTATGTATGTATGTATGTATGTATGTATGTATGTATGTATGTATGTATGTATGTATGTATGCATGTATACATATGTATATATACATATATTACTTTATAATATAAATGATCTTGAATATATATATATATATATGGAAGATCATATAAAAAAAACTGCATATTAACTAAAATAATTGACGAAATACTTTTCTTAATACATTTGCAGTAGGATTTTCAAAAATATATATGTAACAAAAAATATATAAAGTTAATATAACCTATAAAATGTTTACATAATATAGTAAAAGGATACATGTTTACGAAGCTACCTTAACTGCAGTCAATTTTTTCCCTTGTCGATAAGGTGGTCGTGTTTGACATAATTTCTGTTGTAAATGATGAGAGAGTTGTGTTATAGCAGGTTCGTTAGACATAGTTTTGTTATTGTCAGCCATATTATCAGCCAGCTCTTATAGCATAAATATTATGCTTCGTTCATATATGTATATAATAGTGAAACAATTTAAATGGTTCAAATATTATTTATGCTATGATATATATTATAACTATTTATATATATATATTTCATTCCATGTTTATTAATTATTGTTAGTGAAATATTAAAATTAATAAGACAAAATAATAAAATTGTAATGTACTTCATTAGATACATAAAAAAATTCCCTAGATTCCATACAGTGATTATAATCTAGGAATAATTTTTTCGTGTATACAATGATCTATACAGCTGGATGGGATTGAATGTATATATCCACAGTCCATGACGATCATGGTGTATACGAATGGTATCCACGAATCGTCAGATATTTGTTAAAATGAAAGTTTACCCGCGTCGAATACCGCGGTACGCGCAGTAGAATAATTTTTAACGTTTTCTTTATGACATTATCTTAACGTTTCATTAAAAAACAAATCGTTACATGACGAATTTTTTTCTGAAGTAGTATAAACGAAGACTAACTGAAGAATTCTTTAATGTCAGTGGGCTTGAGAACGAACTGAAAGTAAATACACATTCTCTTGACCAGTCACTTTTATGTTGCGAATTTTAATTTTGTGAAACACATTTGTTTGTTTGTTATTCTGTTAAGTTTTGCAATCATTTTACACAAAAACAATAAAGTCAGACTTAAAGAGATGATGTATTAAATTGGTTTTAAATTGATATAGATAACTAAAGTTGACAATTAACAATAAACCTATTACTCCTTTCTATTTATAAAAGTGTTTTGTATACCTAAAAAATTTCACAGATCTATACAACTGCATGACTCCCAACCATTTAAGTTATAGCTGTGATACTGGCAACTATTTTTTTTTTTGTAGAAAATTGTATTTACCTGATAATCATAAATGTATTCAGTAAGTGTATAATACATTTTTCAAGTATTTCTTATTTTACTTGATTAGTATAAAAACTAGAACATGTTTATTATTATTTATTTTTTAATTATAATATGTCTTGTACAAAAAATAGTTACTGAATATCAAATGAATAAAATGTGATAAAATATGATCATTTAATAGTTTTACTTTTCTAATATTAATTTTTATTTTTAGGAAAAGGTAGTACTGTAGAAGCAGAGCTGCTGCAGGTACTTTCGATACTTGTGGTGGTCGGTGAATGGTGTTGCAGATAGACTCGGTGTGGGGCTGGGCGTCACCCCCACTGCGCCTCCAGCTAGCTGGAGGGACCAGGGGTGCCTCAGGGAGAACAGGGGCAAGTGTCCCATCCTCACAAAGGATGGGTGACATGGTTGTAGAACGTGCTACCTCTCCAGCACGTTTAAGTCATACATCAGAAAAACATCCCCGTGCTATGCTTACTGAACTAAATGTTCTTCGTCGTCATAGAGAATTATGTGACGTTGTTCTTAACATTGGTTCTAGGAAGATATTTGCACATAGAGTCATTCTTTCTGCTTGCAGTCCATATTTCAGGTATTTGTGTTTTTTATTTCAAATTATTAAAAATAAATAATAAAAAATATAAAACATATGTTACATTTGTTTGATTATTATTACAGAGCTATGTTTACTGGAGAATTAGCAGAATCTCGTCAGACTGAAGTTACAATACGTGACATAGATGAATTGGCAATGGAATTACTCATTGAATTTTGCTATACTTCGCATATCATTGTCGAAGAAGCAAATGTCCAAACTCTCCTTCCAGCAGCGTGCCTTCTTCAGCTAGCAGAAATTCAAGATATATGCTGTGAATTTTTAAAACGACAATTGGATCCATCAAATTGTTTGGGTATAAGAGCTTTTGCAGATACTCATTCGTGTCGAGAACTTTTACGTATTGCTGATAAATTTACTCAACATAATTTCCAAGAGGTAATTTTTAACGAATTTCAGTAAAATGATAAATATTTGATAATTTATTAAATATTTAAAATTCTTCGCAAATTGTTTAAATATTTCAACGGTATAATATTTTTTCTGTTTTTATTTAGGTAATGGAAAGCGAAGAATTTTTGTTATTACCTGTTGGCCAATTAGTTGATATTATATCATCGGATGAATTAAATGTACGAACAGAAGAACAAGTTTTCAGTGCTGTAATGAATTGGGTTAAATATAATGTAACAGAAAGAAGGCAGCATTTAGCACAAGTTTTACAGCATGTGCGGCTGCCACTTCTCAGTCCAAAATTTTTAGTAGGCACTGTAGGATCAGATTTATTAGTTCGTTCAGATGATGCATGTAGAGATTTAGTTGATGAAGCAAAAAATTACTTATTATTGCCACAAGAAAGACCATTGATGCAGGGACCCAGAACACGTCCTAGAAAGCCTACAAGAAGAGGAGAAGTATTATTTGCTGTTGGTGGTTGGTGTTCTGGTGATGCTATTGCAAGTGTCGAAAGATTTGATCCTAATACTGGAGATTGGAAAATGGTTGCACCAATGAGTAAACGAAGATGTGGTGTAGGAGTAGCAGTTTTAAATGAATTATTATATGCTGTTGGTGGACATGATGGACAAAGTTATTTAAATAGTATAGAGAGGTATGATCCCCAAACAAATCAATGGTCGTGTGATGTTGCACCTACAACATCTTGTAGAACAAGTGTAGGTGTTGCTGTTTTGGACGGCTATCTTTATGCAGTAGGTGGTCAAGATGGAGTACAATGTCTTAATCATGTTGAAAGGTAGATAACTTTTTATTTTATTTACAATATTATACAATGAAAATATACTGCTATCATTTATTATTTATAATTCATTAAACCATTTATTTAAATTGAGAAATGAGCAAAAGATTATTATTTGAAATATACAAAAAACATTATATATTCATATAATATATATGATATGTATATTATATATATTTCAGGTATGATCCTAAAGAAAACAAATGGTCAAAAGTATCACCAATGACTACAAGAAGATTAGGAGTAGCTGTTGCCGTGCTTGGTGGTTATTTATATGCTATCGGCGGGTCCGATGGACAATCGCCTTTGAATACTGTAGAAAGATATGATCCTAGACACAATAAATGGTCTCAAGTATCCCCAATGTCTACTAGACGTAAACATTTAGGCTGTGCAGTATTTAATAATTTAATTTATGCTGTGGGAGGACGCGATGATTGCATGGAACTATCCAGTGCAGAAAGATATAATCCTCACACAAATTCATGGAGCCCTATAGTAGCCATGACTTCAAGAAGAAGTGGAGTAAGTCTATTTGTACATTAATTTAAATGCATTTCATTTTAATGAATCAAAATCACACCATTATTTGTTTCAATTTATTTTATTGACCCACATTTTAAACAGGTTGGTTTAGCAGTAGTGAATGGTCAATTGTATGCAGTAGGTGGATTCGATGGTACAGCATATCTAAAAACAATTGAAGTATACGATCCAGAACAAAATCAGTGGAAACTATGTGGTTGTATGAATTATAGACGACTTGGTGGAGGTGTGGGAGTTATGCGTGCTCCACAAACTGAAAACTATATTTGGTAGCTCAGGCTACCCTCTTCAGCCCAAATGGCTGAAACGCCAATGACTCCTCTTACGCCGGTAACTCCTGTTACACCTGTAACTCCCCCTGCTCCAATATCGGTTCCTATTGTTATAACTAATTCTAGAAAACGATACCGTCGTTCAATGAGCATTATATAAAAAAAGAATTTGCATTTTACAAACAAATTTTGCCTTTCTGCTGATGAAGTCTATTTCTTAATGAAATATTTTGTATAAATATTTTGAATCATAATTTATATCAGGGACCGAAACTGATATCATAAATGTTAGTATCAAAAAATCACATTCTATAATACTGGATTGTATTAAATTGTTATAATAATGAGTTAACTTATAGAAATCAAAGATGCCTCAAATAATACATTAACATATGATATAACAAGATTTGTAATTATGTAATAGTATCATTGAAAATCGGTTCCTGATAGAGAAAATTATTTTATTACTTATTCTAATTTAATTACCAATATATACAACATCATTATACGGACTTACTCTGCAGAGATTATCGGAATTTTTTAGAAAAACATTTCTAAAATTTAAAACGGATCTATTTTGAAACAAAATGTTCAAAAACATTGAGATATTATGTTGTATTTCTGATCAATTGGTATCAATGTATTTCTTATATGAAGACTTATATTTGATTCTTACCTCTGCAATATAATCCAGTATTGCTTCTTGTATTTGACTTTCTTCAGTGTTGCTGTCATACCAATTGTCAGTCCTTTATAATAGCAATAACTGTATATATATATATTGGATAAATTTGTTAATGCCAATAATCTGTGCATACTATAACAAATTTGATTATTTGAAGTGATATTTAATAGATTTTTTGCTTTTTAGTAATTATTTTAAGAAACTACCAAAGTAAATGTATATTTCTTTTTCTTTTTTTTTTTTTCGTATTTATGAGACTGACTGATCAATTTATGTAATTGTCAAGTTGTTAAATTGATTTTTTGTCATAGTTATATCACTCATCACAATTTGATAAAAATGCTTAAACATTGGATGTTTACTTGAAATTTATTCGCAACATGCAACTATCATTCTAAATATATAACTATCTTTATATTTTATTATTTTTATTTTTTGTATAATATCCAATCATACATACTGTTGTATAGATTTACTATTTTTTATTTTTATGTTAAATTTATGCTACCAGTTTTAAACACAATTTGTAATATAGATTCTTTAATTTAACAAATCGAAGCTATCAAGTAAAAAAAAAAAACATTTTTAATTTAAATATTAAGTTTTATATTATTTACAATCAGTTACTGCCTTTTTCTTAGTTGATTGAATACAATATTACTTTATAAGTTTTCATATAAAATTTATTTGTATTTGGATATGTAATAAAACATACAGATTCCAGTCTTAGAGATAAGTACTAAATTACTGATGTGCATTTAATTTGTTCTACAAAAAATACTCAAGTTTTTATTATGGATAAAGAAGATTATATCTGAGCAATGCTAAAAACATGCACAATTTAATTG